AGATTATAACATTTTCCACAACCTTGACTAGTGGAGGGAGTAGAGGTGTCATTTGCCTTGGAGGGATGTGAGTTGTTATCCCAAAGAATGCTATATTGCATCTCAAGTTCCTTGTGCTTTCCATCTAAGTCACAATACTTTTTCTTGAGAGTAATATGTGCTTTCTTTGTAATAGCATGGGCCTCTTGCTCTTTGACCAAAGCCTTGCGCAAGGAGTCCACCTCAATTCTCTTCAATGCAAGAGCTTCCTTGCTAGCAATATAGAGATCTTATTGTTTAATAAGAGTATCTTCTCTAGATGCTAGCTCAGCTTGAACACTCTCTAAATCCTCCATTAGCTTAGTGATGAACAATTTGGTCTTGCTATCCAAATTTTTAGTTATGTTATCAATTTCTTTTATCACTAGACACATAATCACTAGAGTAATCACTTGTATCACTACTAGAGGTGTCACTAGGGGGAGGAGGTTTGGATTTGGATTTTACCTTCTCACCCTTTGCCATAAGACAAATATGAGGGGAGTAGTAGTGACCATCAGACATGTTGTTGAACAGCCTTGGTGTGGAGGATGGCTTGTGAATAGCCATGGTTGTAATCTTCTCATCCTCCTCACTTGAGTTATCTTTTCTTGAGTCCCATTCATGTCTAATGTAAGCCTCTCCCATGTGCCTTTTGCTATTTTTGTAGTCGGTCTTGCTCTCTTTCTTGTCTCTCTTGTAATTGTTGTCTTTGATTTCATGGGGACAATGAGCAATGAAATGTTCGGTGCTCCCACAATTGTAGCATAGTCTCTTTTTCTTGTTTGGGAACTTCCTCTTCACTACCTTGTAGCCTTGTTTTTTGAGCCCCTTTTGATATCTTCTCAAAAAGAGAGCAACATCTTTTACTTTCTCATATTGTTCACTATCACTTTCATCTTCACTTGATGATGATGTTCTCTCTACTTCTTCTTTGACTTGCTTTGGTGCTTTTGGCCTGCTAGTTGATGCTTGTTTGTTGGACTTGGACTTGCTTGTAGAGGGATGCTTTGTTGACTTGTTGGCTTTGAGAGCTACACCTTTGATTTTCATGCCATCTAGCTGTGCTTGCAACTCACCAAGCTTCCTTCTCTCATTTGCTTCTTCTCTTTGCATGTCAAAGGTCAAAATCCTTCCACATACATCATTTGGAGTGAAGTACTCAAACTTCTTATCTCTAATGAGTGTCACAACGGTCTCATTTCTAGGAGAATAAGCCTCTAACATGATTTTGACAACCTTGTGATCATCAAGCTCATCACCACCATAGCCTCTAATCTTTCCAACAATCACCATCAACCTATCAAACATCTCTTATGGCCCTTCTCCATTCAATATCACAAACCGGTTGAGCTTGGCCATCAACAACTCAATTCTTGCCTTCCTGACTTTGTCAACCCCTTCATGTGCAAGGTGTAGAGTATTTCAAATTTGCTTAGCAATATCAACTCCCATGACTCTATTGTACTGATCACCATCCAAAACACTTAGCAACACACTTGTAGCTTGACCATTGAGACAAATGTTGCAAATTTCGGCTCGAGTTGGGTTATTGGGATCAACCGGTGGCTCAACACCATTGTGAACAATCTCCCAAATGCCCAGATGGAGACCTACAAGATAAGCTCTCTTCAAGTGCTTCCACTTGGCAAAGTTGGTCCTATCAAAATGAGGCAACTTGCCCACAGGAACATTGATGAAAAGTCTGTGATCATTGTTAGGCATAGAAGAATAATTAAAGGATACGGTGGCATATTTGTTGTTGTTGCTGCCTTCGCCTTGCTCTCCTTCTTGCCACCCTTGGACACTTGGTAGGACTCATCATCATCTCCATCTTCGGTGCTACTTGATAGTTCACTTGTTGAAGTGTTGCTTGATTTGGCTTCTTCAAGCTTCTTCTCTTCTCTTTCTTCTTCTCACTTTAGCCTTCTAGCTTCTTTTCTTTGCTTTTTCTCTTCAAGCTTTTGCTGCTCTTCTTTTGCCTTGCTTCTCTTTTCTTTCTTCTTTTCTTCTAGTCTTTTTGTCTTCTCTTCATCGGAAAGTATAGCTGCGGGGAGTGAGGTGCCTACTGTTGAGGCACTCAACTCACTATTGTCCATCTCGTGCAAATCCACGTCTTCCAGGTCAACATGCATGGGTTGCGCATCACTAGCTCCTTCTCTAGGCTCCATACCTCATGCAGTTAAGCGTCAATGAGGTAACCTGCTCTGATACCACTTATAAGATCGCCGGTTAGCCTAGAGGGGGTGAATAGGTCTGTCAAAACAAAACTTGAAAACTACTGTCAAATTCTTTGCGGCACTATCGCTCGCACAGATACACGAATTCACAATTCAAAATCTGCCCAAGGAAAAATAGATTGGGTAAACTACTGAGCTTCCTGGGGTAGTATTGAACCTATTCCACCACTTCAATCAGATCGGATCAAACCCTAGAATCACCACAAACACAAATATTGCACAAACATAAATATTGCAAAGCAAATCACCAGAACACAAGTGAGACACCGATTTATCTCGTGGTTCAACTCGCCACTAAGGCTTGCCTAAGTCCACGTTGTTGATGAATCCACTAAGGCTTAGGTTTCGCGCGACCCCATTCTTATTCTCAAGTAAAGAGAATGAACTATTGAGATGATGGGTGATTTCACTAGATGATTGGTGATTACAAACCTTCTAGGACTGCCACACAAGTTGGCAAGCTCCACGAGCGACGCTCTAGCTGGCTAGGAGCAAGCTCCAAGAGTAATAGATGCAATCCACCGGGTTGAACGTGAACCACGTGCTCTAGGAGTTGAAGATCAGTTGGAGCAGCTCTCAAAGAAAGTTTGGAGGCTCAATCTCTCAAAGATTTGGAAGGGAATCAAGGGAGAGAAGCTTGGGAGCTTAGGAGCCTTGCAATGGAGGGAGAGGAGTTGCTCTGGTTGCTAAGTCATGTAATTGGGCGAGGTAACCGTTGGAGGGAATGAGGAAGAGATAAAATATCCCCTCAGCATCAACGATTATTTTTAAGTCGCAGTGCTGCTCTGCCTAGACAACTCAAAAGATAGGATTGCAAAGCTTGCTGTTATGGCTGTGGTTTAAAGATATTTTGGTGGGTATTTGAGCACATAGTTGCACATTAAAGCTTGTACATTGTGTCCCCTTAAGAGTGCGGCTTTTCCTAAACTCAAATTTGAAACAAAAATAAATTTAAATGCCATTGAGTCGATTACCGCATCCTTTTGTAATTGGGGGCTCCACCAACACATGTATTATCCTCCTTTTTATTTTATCTACTTGTCAACTCAATAAATCTCATTGGTCCTCTAAATATGTGGTCATCATCACCAAAACCCATAGTAGGGCTTGATTGCACTTATAGGTAGTCAGTGAAGCAACTAGGCTGGGATGCCTCTTTGCATCTTGGAGCACCTCGCGGTTGCCGGCAATGGCTAGGCTCACGGCGGTCCTCAGCAGCCTGCGCTGCATCAAGTAGTGGTGCGTTGGCCTTGAAACAAAATTTCAAATAAAAAAGTCGTTAACTACAAAGGTTCATATCTTTTTTAGTACTACAACTTTGATTTAGGTGATTTCTCCATCCGAGGTAGTATTATCATTTTTAAAAATGAACTTCAAAATCTAAAAACTTAAAACATAATTTACGTGCCTTAAAATGGAGAAGTAGTCAACTTTGAAGTTGTAGATCTCTTCATGTACTACAACTTTGATATAATGTTTGTCTTCGTCAAACTTGATTTGTAAATGTTATTATTTTTAATGTGCGGTACCTATTTCTAGAGACATGCTAAGCTGTGAACCGTCTCTATATTGATATTCATTTATATAAACAGTTGGAGTTCCTAGCCGCCCATAGAAATGCCTCGATTGGCTGCTGGCAACCCAAACCGCCTCTAAGAGTAGCATTTTAAGAGGCAATTTGGCCCGCAGGCCGCTTCTAAATATAGAGAGCATTTTTAGAGATGCCTAGAAAGCCAGTTGTCTCTAAAAAGTAATTTTCTAGGGACGAACCTCCCCAAAAACTATTTTGAAGTCATGCACAAAGTAAAGATGTTGCTAAAAATTGTTTCTATAGTAGAATGTGATTCTATAGGAAAGAGGCAGGTTTGTGATCTTGCAGTGCCGGAGCTAGAGCATTTGCCCCACACAGCTGGTTTATATTTATATAATTACTATCACTAACAATATATTTTTTATAGTTCGTATGTATATAGTTTAGCATACTTATTATCTTTCAAATGTCTAATTAAATAACTTGTTTTCCGTTAAATTAATATTTGAATGCAAATCCAATTTTTGTTACCTGATTCGTATTAGTATCCGAAGATATTTATTAGATCCGAATTTGTATTCGATAAAATATATATATTCTAAAGTGTAAGTTCTTTTTTTTCTAAATACACAGCTTTGACTGTATTGTACCTAAATATACACACTATAATACCATATATCTATATTAAAACAAAACGATGTACAATTTAGAATAAAGTAGGAAATAGTAATATTCATATATGATTAGATAAGTATCCCAAGTCCATTTTCACACCAACCAGTTCGATGTGGAAGCACGACGTACGTGTACATGGCAACCGCCGAACCACCCCCGCCTCGCGCGCGATTGCTGGCAAATGGCATGGCAATTTGCATGTCCCAACCTCACCGCCTCATGCCTCAGGCACGACGTCACGTCGTCCACTTGCGCCGGGCGCCGTCAACCGGCTGGGCGGGTGGTTGTGCTCCCACCTCGTTGCCTGCCACAGCTTTCACGTGTTTTTCGTGCCGACGACCCGCCCACACTCCTCGGCTAGTACGTTTCTTCCTTCCTAGTCCTAGCTATAAAAACAAGACCTCTCAGCGAACCCACCGAAACCCAACCAACTAACCAACAAGGTCCAAGGCAAAACAAAGTTTCCATCAATCCTCCTCCTCCGGCCTCCTCCGTTATCGAGAGCAGCAGCAGCAGCCAGCAGGTCATCGCCTGCAATGGCGGCGGCGGCAGCGGCAGCGGCAGCACCTTCGTCAGGAGGCACAGGAAACAACACAGCTGCGACGACGACGACCAGCCGGTTCGCGGCAGCGTGCGGCACGCTGAGCCAGTACGTCAGGGCGGCGGAGGCCGAGAGGACGCGCGCGCGGCCGCCGGTGGTGCGGCCCCTGCCCCTCATGCCGGGAGCTGACGTCGAGGACCAGCAGGAGGAGCCGGCAGAAACGGCGGCGGCGCAGCTGACCATCGTGTACGGCGGGCGGGCGCTGGTGCTCGACGATGTCACGGCGGACAAGGCGGCGGACCTGCTGCGGTTCGCCGCGGCGGCGGCACGGAGCAGGCGCTCTCCTGCTCCTCGGTCGCCGACCTACCCGTGGCCAGGAAGGCGTCGTTGCAGCGGTTCATGGAGAAGCGCCAGGGCAGGGTCGCCGCCCGCGCGGAGCCGTACCGCCGGCCCGGTGACCAACGCGACCATCTCACGCTCGCGCTGTGATCTGAGAGCTAGTCTCGGCGTTAGCTACCTAACTAGCTAGAGGATGCTGTGCTGAAGAAGCTGAACTCAGCCGGTGGGGATCTCCGTAGATGTAGACTCTGTATGTTGCTTAGTAGCCAGAACATATATACTCTATTTGTTATTACTAGACATAGTTATAGGTGGATTGTTGTTGGTATGTGTTTTGAATTATAAACAGAAAAAGTGTAGAGATGAAAAGACTTGGTTTCTCGTTCCGGTTCCCGTAGATCAGCTGGTTCGGTTCCTACCTCCTGTCCTCCTTATCGAATTTAAATTTTAAATTAAAACATGTGTTCGTAATTTTCTCTATTTGTCCGGTGAGTGTGCATACATGTAATGTATGTTTATGTGCGTCTCTGATTCGGGAAAAAACCGAGACATTTGATTTTACAAAGTCCTACCGTTGACAAGGTGTATACGACTATACGTTTACAGTCACAAATATCATCAGAAAAATAAAGCATCATGATCGAGTTATGTAATTCTACTCTACTCCGTATATGAAAGAACACATGGAACAAAATTAAATTAAGGACCGCGAAGCATGCATGGCTTCTTCTCAACCTTTATTTGCAACCACCTAGCAGGCGCTACAAAACATACGAAGAGATCATCTAGAGCAGGTCCACGAAGATCTCCTCCATCAGCCTCTGGTCCCTGAAAGCGAAAGGGTCGTGAGGACAGCCCAAAAGCGACAGCAGCGACCCAATTTTGACACGTTGATGTTTCGCGCCACATGCCTCCAGCAATTTTTTCATATTTTCCAATTCTCCAGCGTTCCCACCACTAGTACTCGATCTACTGTTACTTGCGAGAGAAGGCCCGGGCGGTCACGAACCTGCGTGTGGCTTGCTTCTGTCCACGACGCATGCTTTGGGGACCAACTCCACTTTGCCTCGTCTGCCTTGCTCAGATCGTCCGGCTTCCTCGCGACGTGCCCAGCACTACTTAGACGAGCGTTTTCTTATAACCACAGACGCAGAGCACGGATTGCGTCCCAGTTTGCACAGGGCAGCAGAGACACTAGGGCACAAGTCTGGTTTAGAGCAACTTCAAGAAAGTCTCTATATCTTGCATCAGTGGCGGATCGAGAGAAACGGACCAAGGGGGCTAAATAATAAAAGGCTAGAAATCATAATAGCCATAGAAAGTGCTTCAAAAAAATTCATTGTAGTCTATTATTATGCCCTATACAATATGAAATATTGCAAAGTGAAATCGCTGGAAAACTGAATCACTAATACCAAAGTACAGTACCTCACTAAGGAGTAAGGAGATAGGAGAGAGAGCCAGAGAGGAGCTGGCCCCTGCCCGCTGGGCCTCAGTGGCTGCAGGTTGGGGCGCTGGGCCAAAGGAGGAGCCATGGAGGCCGGACTCCGGAGGGCTAAGGCGGGGGCGCGCCGTTGTGGGGGCAGGCGGGCAGCTGGCCGGCGGAGGGTGCCAGGCGGAGCAGGGAAGCCGGCCGCAGAGGGGCAGGGGTGCAGGGCTCACAGGGCGACTCACAGTCACGAGCGGCGGGGGCTAAAGCTAGGTTACTAGAGTTTTTGGGCTAGGCTCTGAATACCTGGTCCCTGTTGATTCGGCCCAACGGGGGCTGCAGGGCAGCCCCCCCCCCACCCCGGTGCGTCTGCCCTTGTCTCGCACTACCTGCACTGGTAGAGAACAGAGCTTTACTCCCGGTGGGAACCCCTCTAGTCCGGTTCCCCACCCGGGAGCAAGCATCCGGGACTAAGGGGTCCTTTAGTCCCGGTCAGAACCGGGACTAAGGAGGACCTTTAGTCCCGGTGGATAACACCAACCGGGACTAAAGGTGCCTCCTGACATGCCACGATGGCCGGCACCTTTAGTCCAGGTTGGTAATACGAACCGGGACTAAAGGTTTTTTTTTCTTTTTATTTTTTTGTTTTCTTTTCAAAATAGGTTTTCGAAGTCGTATTGTATGCTGCTAATTATAAATTTATACGCGCGTATAGTATGTTTCGGTTTAAGCATAATGAACGTATTAAATCACACAATTCAAGCAAAGAAATATATATATATATATATATGCATGCATGCATATGTGTATTTTACATTATATTATTTCATGTGCATATATTACAAAAGATTGCATTACAGTTGTTGTGATATAACAAGTTTCCTCTCATCCTCTAGCTTAACTTCCATGGCAGCGTTGGGTCGAAGTAGAACTTGCCCTTGGAATCGATGACCTGTTCATTAAAAAATCCGGCTATAGACTCTTGAATTGCTTTGATTTGGTCTTGCCGTATGACCTTTTCCTCCAACCATCGAGCCTACAGGTTTGAATTAAAGGAAAATAAATTAATATATGTACATATATATATAAAGACATAGTAACACAATCAATAATAATAATTAAATGAATATATAGTGTATTTTTAACGTACTTTGAGTCTCTCTGTAGGAGTTCTTTGGGAGACCACCTTGATAAACTTACAAACATAGTAACCACAGTAGTTGTTCCCCTGTTCCTGTCTTAGACACCACTTTACGAGAAAAAGATTTGTTATCCAATCTGGTGATCCGGTGAAAGCTATATGTTTAATTAATAAAGATGATGCGATTTAGGGGACTTACTTTCAAAGGGATTACATTCAGTGGCGCTTTACATTTTCCCATGTGTTGCTTCTCAATAAAGGTTTTCCAAACACTGCCCAATAAAAAATTTGCCACGTCATCAGATATAGTTAATCATCATGTTTGTGTGTATATATAGTTGCTAGAGATACCGAAATTACCTCTGGATAATATCTATCATATCTTGGTAGTCTTGTTGTGGTTTTCTCATCGAGTCATAGATTATCAAGTGACTTTTCACCAGATCGATGTCCATCAATATCCAGTGATTGTTGCATGTGTTTATAGGATATAACACATAACACTCATTAATTAACTAGAATCAACATATGAGCCATTAAGGATGATCGACATTATTAACACTCACTTGAAGTTGTAGGGAAAGAGTATATCCTTCTTGTGGCGTTGGTTCACTAAGAAGTTCATGAGGTTACTCTCTGACTCAGACTTCCAATTAGTCTTTGGAGTAACTGGGTCTTTGAATACTATATGGGGATCAACAAAACCAATTTCATTGCAGCCTACCTTTCTGGGCTCTGTCATTGTAAATCTGCATATATATATAGTACTTGTTAGGATAATTTATATGCATATACACACATATGATGAGTTTAATAATAGATCGAAAGAATTATTACTTACAGGCAATAGCAGCTAATGATAACTTTGTCCAGAGAGGTCAGGTGGCATAGTTGATGAAATTATGCAAAGTCAACATACATAACATCATCGCCACGGAACCAATGTTCGTCTCTAATTCTAACACCAACGCAAAAGTCTCCACCGGTAGATGCCTGCATGTACCACTTGTTTAGCAGGTACATGTAACTGAACCGACCAAATCATAAGAACGTAAGTACAAAAACAATCACCGAAGCGATCAAATTCCTGTACTTAAGCTCTCATAATCCCGGTAGTTCGGAAATCACGAAGGATTTCAACCAACTCTCGACATACAAACCAAGATCGTAGTGATTCAACACAACACATCATCCGTTACAACATTTTATAAGTAGCATTCGGATTACATCCATCAGAGTTCAAATAAAATATTACAAACCAAGTTTAAATGCGTGGAAACAACATAGTTTAGTACATAACTTCATAGTTTCAAATACATTGCCAGATCAGAGTCATGTCCCACAAAAGCATTATCAGGCACGAGAACTAGTAGAGACCGCACTTAACGGTCTAGTCTTCATCCCGGTGGGAGAAAGCGTACTTGCAAACAACCAAAGAAGAAGGCGGTCATCTGCAGCAGTGGGAGATAAACCACAGTACGAGAAGGTACTCTCACTAGACTTACCACCAAAAAACCGAAATAAAAGACACCAAGGATCATGCAAGGCTTTTCGGGTGGGCTAGCTTGACACAGATTGCATAAAAAGCTTATGATTATAGTAACCAATTTAAACTTATTATCAAGCTTATCATTATTTACCTGTCCACTAGATTAGCACCTGTACTAGAGCACTCACTTATTAGGAGCAAACAATATTAACCATAGCAGGTATAATACTAATTTGTCATCATCATATCATCATTTCCGAACCATTAAGTTATTAAGTGTATCTACATTGGAGATAAGCCCGTCAAGTTCTCACTAACCGGGAGAGACGGCGACTCGAATCGAATTACAACTCAGCTGAGGGGGTATTCCTAACTCTCACCGTGGCATACTTAGCAAGGGTAGTCGTGGGTCACCTTTGGAACAACTCAGGAACCAAATTCGTGGGTTCGATCAACGCCAGCACTCTCAGGGATTACCCTTCTGCCAGGACGATCAGGACTTTTAAATCACATGCCCTTGGACTCACGCCACGGCTCCTTCCGAGGCACACTTTATACTTATCGACTCCCGGCCTGAGGTGAGCTACTCGGCTCATTGCTTCGGTCATCGGACACGGCCAACTAAGAGAGAGGCATCGTTCAACATGAGCAGGAAAGGCTCCAAGAATCGGTCCTTAAGCGACAGACGGAGTCACTACAAACCGGCAAGCCTCCGTCCGGTCTTCATTTCAAATTAAGATGGTTACATTTCCACGATAGCAAATATAGCCAACCGTGCCACATGTATCTTCCTATATCTCGCAGTGACAGAAATCACCCGACTTCTACCGCGTTTAAGCGAGGGCTAAGCACTACTCGAGCCTGAGCTACATAGGATTGAGGTAACAATATCTGGACAAGGATTGGGTAACCAATGCAAGCAATGGTTTGCATCCAACACCTAAACTTAATGCAACAATATATATATGTAACAATAATATCAGAATCGCATTTGAAAATTAGGAGGCTTAATATGCTCTCGGGCTTGCCTTTCACAAAGTTGCAAGGGCGGTGGTCGGGCACTCAGCGGCGACCTCGTCGGCACTTCTCCTAAAGGTTGCTCCTCCCGAATCTCGGTGTCGGTTGCTGCTG